GATGCAAAGACCTTGGCAGGTCTTCAAGGTGCAGAGGGTGCCCGTGCACCCCAGGCCTTCTGCAAAATGTTCGGGACAGCTTTGCTTTGGGAGGGAGGCGACGTGCACAAGTGGGGTGAGATGGAGGGGGGGCAAGACAGCGCAGTATGTCCCCAATCTCCCCGAGCAGAGGCACAAGGGGCCTAATGCTGCTGAGCCGCAGGGGGCTGAGCTGCTTGGGGTGAGCACAGAGCCACCCGACACGCAGCCCGTGGGGGATGCGAAGGCATGTGCTGGTGCCTCAGCAAAACTCAGTCTTGAGGCAGGGTTGGGAGCCCTGGTTTGGTGCAGGTGAATCTCAGAGGGATGAAGAAAAGCTCTGCAGATGCTCAGCTCCACTGGAAGCCACCCTCCCCTCTCGCACAGGGTGATGGTGGGTGTGGAGGCACCCAGGGGCCAGGCACAACCGAACACCCTGTAGGTGGACTGCAAACTCAGACATCCAAAACCAAGCCCAAATCCCCTCCAAAACAACTCAGGCACCCCACAGCCCCTTGCATATCCCTTGGAAGCCTGAGATCCTCCCCTGTGACGCAGTGCTGCCGCCTGTCCTGACCCCACGACAAAACCCTTCTGCAGCCCAACACCCATGGGCGCTGCTTCGGCAGCATCCCCGCAGCCCGGCACTCTAGACACTGACGGCATTTTCAGCTCCCAAACCCAGGCGCTGTGGGTGACACCTCTCCTGTCACACGCTTGGGCTTTGAGCTCCTCTCCCTGAAAGGAGAGACCTTGGAAGAAGAAACCAGAAATAACCTCTGTGCCTCCCCAGCTGGAAGAGGAGGGGAATCCTGGTCTCTGAGTTTTTTCTGTTTCTTATCCAGGATAAAAACATATTAACTGTTCTGGCAGTGAAGTCTCGCTAGGCTATGGAAACCAGCTCACAGACATCACTTTTGTGGACATTTGCATCTAGAAGGTGGCTTAGTTCTGTTCAGAGCCCTTCCCCTAAGCCACGCAAGCTGCCCTGCCCGGCCATTCTCATGGGCTATTCTGCAGGACAAAACAGCTCCTCCACTGGACAATTTCAAGAGGAGAATCCATGGACAGGCTTTCCAGCCCTGCATCATCTCAGCCAAGGACACACCACCCCGGTCTCCAGCCTCGTCCCCGCCGTGCGGCGCTAGGGGATGGAGGAGCTGAGCGACACACAGCTTTTGGTGCTGCTGCACTGGGTGAATTTGGGATCTGGCTTCCCATGAGCGTATCCCAGGGAGCCACACACATATATTGCAGCAAGGTGTCCGCAAAAAACACACAGCGCAGCTGCTGCCCTTGCTGCCAGTTCAAGTCACCAGGAAGCGCAGGCATGCAAGAACATCTTCTGTTCCAGAAGAGAAATTTGGGAGGAAAAACCACAGTGCAGTCAAATAAAGGAAATGTACTTTGAATTATTTTATTCAAGATACTTTGGATTTATTCCTGACAATAGCTCTGGAAGCAGGAGTTTGGGACGGAAGTCTTTGGAGACAAAGAGGCAAATCCAACAACCAGTGCAAACATCCACAGGATTACATGTATGATAATTCACAGCAAATTGTAGAAGGGGATTCAGGCACAAAACCAAAACCTGAAAAAGCAATGTCATAAAGACCTGCTCGGTTTGCCTGCTCAGAACAAGGATGTGTGCTTTTCCTGAGGTCATCCAGGCAGCGTGCTCTCCCCGGGATCTCAACGGCAAAGAACCTCTTCTTGGCCTCGCAGGACTGGGAACGAGCCCACGATTCCCACCGCACGCAGCCCAGACTGCCCAGGCTGTCGTTTCCAGTGTGTGTTGTTCAATAGATGTCAGTTGCTATTTTGGGCTTCCTAGATAACGGCTGTGGGTGAAGTGTACCCAGAAGTAAAAAGCAGAAGAGCTCTCGGGATGAGTTGCCACCACCAGACCTGGAACAATGCAACGGTTATCTCTGCACCGGCTGGCACAGGACGAGCCCAAACAGACTTGCAGGGCAGAAACCTTGCTGGAGGTGCCAAAGGTGAGCTCAGGTATGAGCTCAGAAGAGCAACAGCTCAGGAATAGGTCCAAAAAAATCAGTCTCCGGAGCATGCGGTCACGTAGGAGCTGGAGAAAGCAGAGCTCTGGCTGCCCACGCATCCGGGGGACGAGGAGCCACAAATTCTCCCAGTTGTCCCAGGTGTCTGGCACAGCTTCTGCTCTGCACATCTCCAGCCAGGATCAAGAAAAGCAAAGAGCTGAAGACTGGGAGCCCAGAGGAGTGACACATGGCTCTGTGCACTGCAGGGACAGTGACACATGGCTCCGTGCGCTGCAGGGACAGTGACACATGGCTCCGTGTGCTGTAGGGACGGTGACCCAGGCACTATTTCCTCCTCCTGTTTACATTCCGCAGCATCTGTCCTCATCTCACAAGTCCTTAATGACAGAGTAACCCAAATGAGCATGCGAGGAACAAAGCACTTTGCAATTAATGGGAGGTCGCTGGGCGTTGTTGCCTGTGCCTTATTCACAGAACAGCAGGAGCAGGTGAAGCTTCTGGAGGAGAACACAGACCATGCTGCTGCCGTCCCTCTGTCCCTTGGCCAGGACAGAGTCAGCCTGAGGAATGCCACCTTGACCACAGCCTGCTGAAACATCCTCCTCCATAAGCCCAGAATTTGCAAATCCCGAGAGCAGGACCTGGCCTCCGCAGTAACTCCCTACAGCAGGTTGACTTTGGCCACCACCTGCTTGCAGCCCATCCTGGAGTACTGCTTGGCCCCTGTAGTGTAGTAACTGAGCTGACTCGCTAAATTTTCAATATGGTTCTGGTCGGGATACAGCCCTTCCCTCCTCATCTCCTCCAAGAAGCAGTTTATGATGTGACTCTTCTCCAGAAGAACAAAGGGGACGATGTCCGCAGATTTCCAGAGAGGGTGAGCATCGATCAGCACAGGCTGGATGATGCTCAGCAGTTCATCAACTCCCCTTTGCTGATGCAGAAGCTCAGCGGATGCATTCTGGATAACAAACTTTGTTATTTCTCCACCTCCTATGTTGCTTATTAAAATGTAGATAGCGTTGAGGAACTCGTTGGTCTGATTGGGTTCAAAGAATCGGCTGAGGGTATCCAGCAGGACCGGAGACATGAGTTCAACCTCATCCAGAATAAACAACGGTATCTTCTCTTCTATTTCTGCTCTTGTCACCATGTCAGAAATTTTCTTGGACAGATCTATTTCACAAGTAAGAGGAGCCGCCCCGTTGGGACAGTGATGCATAACAAAGTACTGAAGCACAAAGTCATTGTCCATGACAGAACGAAAATGTTTGGCCAGCAGCCAGCCAACATGACTCTTTCCAACTCCTGTTGGGCCATTTAAAGAGATTACTAGAGGCTTGCTGTGTATGTGGGTAGCCAGATAGTCTTTCAGTAATTCCATAATATTTTCCACGGCAACCTTCTGTCCAAATACTTCCCGGTGCATTGTTTTCTCCAAACCATCCAGGTCGTACTTTTGGAGGTTATCATCCAGGTTCTCTATTGCGTTGAGGATCTGGAAGAAGATAATGACGATGAGCAAGAGGAGGCAGCGTTTTGCCTTGCTCTTCTCCTCTGTCGGCAGGTATCTTTTTGTTTTATCTGGATACAGGACTATCCTAGATTTCCTTCGATTCTTTTTCCGCCTGCATTTTTTCATCGCAAACTGCTCCACAGATGTGTCGAAGGTGAAGTACTGGGAGGTTTCAAAGGCGGACTGATTAAAGAAGGACATGGACGGGCTGTACAGGCTAGTTCGGTTCAGGGAAAGCTGCCTTTGGAGCAGCCTCGTAGGGACAAACTCTGAAGACTTTTCTCGAGGGAGCTCAAAGTGCAGACGGCTTTTCTTTTGCATCCGGAATCGTCGTCGCAGGCGGACGATTGCCCTCAAGGGAGAAGAAATAGAAGATATTTTCTTTGAAGCTGCAGGGATTCCGGTATCCTGTACTTCCTCCCCATCGCTCTCATAGCACGACGCCTCTCCATTCACATCGCTCTCGGCACAGGGCATTTCCCCCTCCCCATTGCTGTCGGTGCCGGGCAGTTCTCCTTCCCCACCATGCTCAGCACAAGGTGCCTCTTCTTTTGTGTCAGTCTCAGCACAGGGCACCTCTCCCCCTGCACTGCTGTCGGCACAGGACACGTCTCCTTCGGTACCACCCTCCATATGGGGCATCTCTCCTGGAGCCTCCACAGTGGAGGACGCTTCTCCATCCACCTCAGCGCAGGGCAGCTCTTCATCCATCTCGCCTGGTTCTCACAGCCCCTTCACATCATTGTCTTTCTAGGAAGAAAAAGAACAACGTAAAATGGATCTCTGTAAGATCAGGTAGTGACCAATAACCAATAATTAGACAGATATCCCACTTTCTAGTGGGCAGAATGATTACCTGGAGCAATCAGCAGCGGCAAGGTGGCAGAGAGAGACTTCCAGACCCAAGATAACTTTCTGGAAGATGCTCTAGACATGCAAAACTACAGATGGAATTCAGTGTAAGTAAATCATAGAATCATAGAATCCCAGAAGGGATTGGGTTGGAAGAGACCTTAAAGCCCATCCAGTGCCACCCCCTGCTATGGGCAGGGACACCTCCCACTAGCCCAGGTTGCCCAAAGCCTCATCCAGCCTGGCCTTGAACCCCTCCAGGGATGGGGCATCCACAGCTTCTCTGGGCACCCTGGGCCACTGCCTCACCCCCCGCACAGGGAAACATTTCTTCCCAATATCTAACCTAAACCTAGTCTAAATGCAAATCAATACGTAACACACCTCCAACCCCGCCTTTGCATCCAGAAGGAAGCCTTGGAGATGCAGGAGCCAAAGCCAAGCTACAAGTTGCCCTGAGCGAGAGGCAGGACACGGGGCAGCCAGACCCACGCTCCGACCCAGCGCTGCCCGCCCCTGTGTCCGTACATCTGCTACATCTCAG